TCTAATGGCTCTCTTGAGAAAACTGATTTCACTGCCCACACCTTGCAATTCAGAATGACTGATTTTGAACTCCTCGGAAAGCTTCTTGAGAAATGTCTCACGCCAATACTGTGCATCTCCACAAAACAACAAAATGTCATCCACATGAACAACAATGCAGCAACTGTCATTCTTTGCAATGCACGGCTGTTCAACACAGAACATCATGTCGAGCTTCTCAATGAGAAACTGGCGCAATTGCCAGTACCAGCTCTTGGCACCAAGCCGTTGTCCAGGTAGATTGCGCTTCACCCAGTATGTCCTTCCAAGAAGGGTCACCATCATTGGTGAAGGTTGCTCGACCATGAGGAATGCATCTTTGACATCAACTGGTCCCAAAAGCACACCAGACGTCGTTGAAATCTCCAAACTTCTGGAAGTTAATCATGGGAAGCAAGTTGAGGATGTGAGTAAAAGATGCTGGCCAGAAGCACGAACTAGATGGCATCCGTGCCGAGATCAGGGCCCTTCGTCACACCATGGACATGGTGGTGCACAATGCAGCAGTTCTCACCAAGGAGTTGGTCGCAGTGAATGAGAGCATCATCAATGACCTGCATCCCGAAACACCTGGCAGTTGGACCGCGACCTTCCAGGAGTTTTAGGTCCTGGTTGTGGCCCTCTCCTTGAAGGGTTGGTTAAGAGGTGATCCTAACCACGGCGCACAGTCAGTTTGACCATTGAGGTGGCTGCTCACGGCTACCGGGTATCCCAATTTTTTTTCCTCGATTACACGTCATGGTGGCAAGCAAACAGTAAACCAAATCAAAAAGGGCAAGCGTTGGGTTGAAATGCACTTCCCCCAGTCAGAAATGCGTATCGACCCACGTCTGACCAATCAAAACAAACAAAGAAGAACAACCACAAAACACAAAAACGGGGCCGGAGTCCAACGCAACAAACACAAATCAGCCACCAATCGCAGTGATGGGAACAGCGAAGGCCCATCACTGCCGATAAACCTATCAGCAAAAGGTAAATGAATTAAAAAGAGACCAGTGCAAAAGGGTCAATTAGCAGACAGCAAAAAAAGCAAGCTGTACACAAAAAGCTACGCACCTCTCAGAAGCCTCTCAGATGTTCTTTGGCAAGTTATCATCAGGTTGCAAAGGCAAGCCAGAGAGTTGTCCGTCTGGGTAGAAAAGTGGACTCATCTTGGTAGCATCGAGGGTAGCAGCGGGGGGGTAGGCAGAAGCGGCCGAGATGCAATGGGATTGGCAATGGATGCAGTCACAGGGCTATAGGGGCACCCAATGTTGTAAAGATCACATTCCAGAGGGACACGGAGGAGCCAACAAGCCCGCAGCTTTTCTTTGATCGCTAGTGCAATTTTCGGCGTTCTCAGGACTGCCCCAGTTGCAGGCTGCTTTACTACAGATACTACTACAGTCTTGGCCAACAGTGCTCTGAAGTGTCACTCCCCCGGCCATAGACATGGTGATAACCGCTTTACTGAACGGACAGCTTCGTATCAGCATTCTCCAAGGCATACGTGTTTAGAAAGAGCACCAGCAATTGCGGCACTGATTCACCGTAGACATCCTCGCAAAGAGAAAGCCAGGCTAATCGAATCCACCACAAGCGCCAACATGGTCACTATTAGAACACAAGAAAGCCATATTCGCAAAAAAGGATCTTCTGGGCCGAATCTCCTGATGAACTTCGCATCAAGAGAATGCAAAATCCGCCCACACCGCTTTGGCGGTGAAGGCGTGCTTATTGGGGGGAAACAGCCACACTAAATGCTCAATCACATTTGTTTATGTAGCAGTCGCTATATCAGCTTTAGCTGGGGGGGGGCCAAAAACGGTTTCGCACCGAGACCAGAATTAGGTGGTGTTTTCGACTTTTTTCGAGGATTTTTGGGTGTCTGAGCGCCAGAGGGTATTGAAATGGAATTTTGGGTCATTTTGGTAGTTTTCCGGCAATGGAAAAACGGCCAAAAATGAAAAAAACATTGTACATAGCAAGATTTTGCAGGGTTTTTGGATGCCAGAGCATTGAAAACACTGCAAAAACAAGTGTTTTGGACTGACGTTATAGCAAAAAACGTGTAAATTACCGTATGCTTGACTGGAAACATTACAAAAACACTGTCAAAAGCAATGTTTTGGAAGGATTTACTGCCTTTATGGCAAAAAACGTGTAAATTACCGTCTGTTTGACTGGAAACATTGGAAAAACACTGTCAAAAACAATGTTTTGGAAGGATTTCTTATATATATATATGTTGGAGTTGGCTACCGGCATTGGAACATGGAAAAATTGAAGAAAACACTGTAAATAGCGGGGGCTCCCCAAGCTAGGGAATTTTCACTTTTCCCCCCCGTGGGGGGTTTCCCAAGCTAGGGAATTTTCACTTTTCCCCGCCGTCACAGCTTCCCAAGCTATGGAATTTTCACTTTTCCCTCCCTTGCAGGCTCTCCAAGCTGCGGAATTTCAAATAGCTAGACAACGACGCCTAGATAGTCCCCCAAATCCCGTGTTCTTTGAATGTGTTTCCATGTTTTTGCAATGGTTTCCTTCAAAGCACGGTACTTTACACTTTTGTCGCCATAAAACCGGTCAAAAACATCATGTTTTTGGGAAGCTTCACGGGGGAAAAGTGAAAATTCCCTAGCTTGGGAACCCGGGGGGGAAAAGTGAAAATTCCCTAGCTTGGGGAGCCCCCACGGGGGGGGAAAATGAAAATTCTTAGCTTGGGAAGCTTCACTTAAAAAATATTCACGAACCCAGCAGTTATGTATGTCAATTCTCCTGTGCTGCTCTGCTCCTCATATTCCACACCACCCTTAGCCCCTCTCACGGACCGAAATAAACCTGCGGTGTGGGCGGCCACCCCACGCGAAGCGGGGTGAATACTGCACTGGTTGATACATAGATCAAATGAATTCGTACCATCCAAACAGGTCGGACATCAGTGAAGTAGTGCAGCTGCTTGAGGGATGTTCACTGTGGAGCCACATAGAAGCCATGATCGCAGACTTTGCTGCTGCACGGGCGCAGCGAGGCCCAAGGCACATGAGGGCCGAGCACTGCAGGTTTCCCGTCGGGCCATGGCACGCGTCGGCTATGGAAGCACCCTCAACCAGCAGCACCCGTCCCCAGGCAGCAGTGCAAGCTGAAAATGGGGGGACCTGGGTGATATAGCCCAACCAGCAACCACCTTATGCTGAGCTCGCATGCAGTTTGATTGTGGGCTAGCAGGGACTAAGTTCTCAAAGACTCTGAAGGCATGAAGATGCAATGTGATTGTGCTAACATGACTTGCCAGCCTGTGCAGACAGCACGATCCTAAGCAAAAGCATCTCCAGTGTGGCCACCTCAGTAACTGTCCTGAGTAGGATGAGATCATGTGGGAGGAGACCAGTGGGGCCCTGTCTTGCCAAGTGACTCAGAACTGTAGCTTTTGTCCAAGTGGAGAAAGTTGGAAACTTAAGATTAAAACCATGGCGAGGTGCGTGTTATCTGAACACCTCAGCCAGTGACCAAATTCAGGCCATGCTTACAAGGGAGAAGGGAGAAATCAGCGGCAGAAAGCCCGGGGAGGGGATGATGGAGTCAAGAGATGCACGACATGCACAGACATCTCTGCAAAGTCAAGAGGAGGGGGCGTCCGGACACTCCACATGGTGTAGAGGGAAATCTCCACACAGGGCCAAAGCCTTTGGTGCCATGCATCATGAGACACGTCCCATACTTCACAACTCGCAACGGATGCTACGGGCCTACGTAAGGGGCACGCAAGAGAACGTAACCGTACCAATCTGACCAACAGGCACAAAGAGGAAGAAAATGCCACCCTGGGTGCGAAAATCCAACAGGACCTAATTACAACCACTAGTCGCGTGCGCTCGCGGATCGCGTCGAATTGGGTCAGCCTCCACCGCGTCGAGCGTATAAAGAAAACAAAGAACCTAAATTCACGACGGCTTCACTGCAGTACCCTCGGTTCCTTTTCCATCAGGAAACACAAAGGAAACAAGCTGTCTGTCCAGCTAAGTTGTCTTGCACGTGCAACATGCATAGTTTGGTCTTCTCCTGTTTCAGCTGTTCCGTGCTGTTGAAACGACAGCGGCGGCATGCACAAAAAGCAAACGTTCTTCTCGCACTTCTCACCACCATGTTGGGTGAATTCAATATGTTTGAATTCACCATCACATTCCAAAATAAACATTCTCCATTCGCATCTTGTTGACAAATTCCAAAAACGTCCAAAATCATCTTCAAACATTCTCACAGCTTCCAGAAATAAAATGCAGCTCGGCAAAACGAAGTTTCAGTTGGAGTTTTTGTTGAAAAACGCATGCACATGTGTTTGAAAAACGACGACAAAGTTGACCTCAAACTCGTCCACATCAAAAGCACTCCCGAATTCATTTGCTGTCCAGATAACATCTGAGGCAAATGAATTCTTTTCCAAAAACATTATTCTCATCCACAAAGTTGATGAAATAAAACATCATGCACCAAAAACGCATTCCCATGCTTTCTCAACCAATTCCAGAAGTTCTCAAACCATTCTGCATCATTGTGCACAAATAAACCATAACGAACATCATGTTGTAGCCACCTTGTCACTTTCGGGTAAGAAACGTAGCACATGCAACTAATATGCACGGGAGTGTATATTTCCATACCCCCTTTTGCTGCGTTTCCCATCCATCCAAATCCAGCTGAATTCCAGTGAAGTCTCAAAAAAAGGCTGCACGTTGCACATATGTTTAAATTTACGCTATCGCCGCCCAGTTGTCAATACCTCCTTGTTACATCGCGCGAAACGAAAACCAAAAACACAAACATGATGCAAACGGAGTGACATCAAACATGTGTGGCAACAACGAAAAACTGCAGCACAAAAATTCTTTTCCTCGGTGCGCACAATGGGCTGTCTCACAGTTCAAACAGCATTGAGCCTTTCATCAGGCAGCTGAGAAAACATCTCTCTCTGGCTTACCCATTTACCCCTGGCGTAGGAGCAACTGAGTAAACATCGCAAAAGACAAAAAGTCAAAGCCATCGTTCGCATTGAACCTGAGCAGCATGCCCTGGTCTTTTCATCCGCACCAACTCACCCCTTCAATACCAAGTCAGTATGGTGCCGGTCGAACTGGACGCGGCCACATCGTTGGTTGAGTCTTCAAGCGCAGGTGTTGCAGAAGCTGCTGTAGGAGCCGGTGAAGTGGCTGGAACGTCGGCAACGACTGGATCGGGAGCTGTCAATGGTGCGTCCAACGTACCAAACCGACGTTTCATCCTGAGAAGGGTCTCGGCGGTCCTCAGCAGCAGCATGGAGTCGGTCAAGACTGCATAGTACTCTGCGTGCAAATTGGTGTCGTAGTTTGCAGTAAACCACGTTGTGAACGCGTCCAGTGCGGGGATGGCGTTGATGATCCCATCTGGAAATTGGTCAGATGGGGATACCAAAATTTCGGTCAGTGGTCGACCTTCATTCGGACAATTCAATTGCAAACTGGTTTCGGCAGGCTGTTCCGGCCAAAGTTGGCGCTCTAGTATGTAGAGCGCCTGACTGGTCTGTGACCAGAGATTGAAGATGGAAGACAAATAAGTCGTGCGCCCGCACGTTTCCAGCAGCAGACGGCATGCGACGATAATTCGATCGAAGCATGCCAGTCTTTCCTCTTGCATCGTTTGCGCTATTTGTAAATTGAAGTGAGGTGGCTCGAGAAAGGCCAGCGAGATGGATACGGAGGCTGCAAAGTTCACGATCAACTCAGGCAGCATGGAAATGATTGAGAAGGCACGGAACGGCAAGCTGTGGCCAAAGGTGCTGTCAGGATTTGAAGCTTATTGGGTGGGAGTGCAACGGGCGGGAGCTTCAAAATTCTTGAAATGAAAAATTTCACTTGGAACAGGCTCATCACACAGCGTTAACATGAACATGTTGAAACCTCAGAAACGTGTTTGTCAAATAAACAAACAGCAGGGCCAAAAAGTCCATAAACAGAAGACAAACACGTTAGACAATTCAAGTGCAGGATTAGGCAGGTTTCAAGGCTTAAGAACGCAGCAAGGTTTTTGCAGGAAACATTTTTGTAAATCGCGTAAGAGAAAGGGGGACAACTGGGCTAAAAGTTTCAGCATGAAACTTTTCTATCGCGGAAAAATTTAAGGCTCTATCAACACGTTGACAGATTGCTTAAATTTACGCTATCGCCGCCCAGTTGTCAATACCTCCTTGTTACATCGCGCGAAACGAAAACCAAAAACACAAACATGATGCAAACGGAGTGACATCAAACATGTGTGGCAACAACGAAAAACTGCAGCACAAAAATTCTTTTCCTCGGTGCGCACAATGGGCTGTCTCACAGTTCAAACAGCATTGAGCCTTTCATCAGGCAGCTGAGAAAACATCTCTCTCTGGCTTACCCATTTACCCCTGGCGTAGGAGCAACTGAGTAAACATCGCAAAAGACAAAAAGTCAAAGCCATCGTTCGCATTGAACCTGAGCAGCATGCCCTGGTCTTTTCATCCGCACCAACTCACCCCATCTTAACCGGAGTGTGAGGAAAGCTTCTGCAGACACTTTGCCACTGTCACCCCTACTAACAAAGGAGAAAGAAATTTTGCACTTACCCCATCAGGCGAACCACGGGAGGGCCCGTCGGCAATGTTACTTTCGGAGGGCACCCTAGCAAACCAAGGAATTATTTCATGGGTATCTTCCACGGCTAGGACCTGGGCAACTAGACTGGACCCTGGGAACGTCCTGGCAGATCCACTAATGCAGACATCACGAGTTGAGTTGTTATCGATATACGCAACACACGGGTGCCCCTTAAGGAATTTTTTCCACAAGACAAATGAAATCAAGAGTGCAAGGAGTTCCGCTTCGAAAATAACTGTGCTCTTGCCTGGGTACCCCAAAGCTGTCAGATCCTCTGGCCTAAGCATGAATGAGAAGGCCGACACCATTCGTCCTGTGGAGTCTACAAGCACCCCTCCAAGGCCACCCGGCCAACTTCCATCCTCCGGAGAGAACGAAGCGTCTGTGAACAAAAAATATGGGACATCCCAATGCGCCGTGATCTGTCGAGGCCTGGCCTGAGAGAGGTGGCAACGGAAAATCTTCAACATGGCTTCAGTGTGCTCGCTAAGGACTGCTGACTCCGATTGATAGGCGTGATTTGTTACTGCGCTCAAGCACAACCGGGCTGCACGTCCCCAGAGCTGTGCCTTTGCAAACTGCATTCTTCCACGGAGAACGAGCGCTGCCTGCTTGGTGAGGCGCCCGGATCGCAAGACTTCATCAATCGTATCGGCAAGTTCCTTGACACGCCTCTCAGTGTTAGCAAACCAAACGTGCCCCTTTTTCCATGAAGTGCAGTCAATCTCCACTCCCAGTGCTTTGAATTTTTCTGCAAAAGGCAAATCTTTGTCTCCTGAAGAGACTGCCCAGCCAAGCAACCGGAAGAACTGCACTGCTGCTATGGCAACGGATTCTGACTCAACATCTCTGGCAAACGTGATGAAATCATCGAAAAAGTTGCTCCACAAAAGTTTTAACGATTTGCACCCGAGCCACCAGAGGGAGTGTGACACCCGCAAAAAACTGTAAACAGACCTGCTGGCTCCGAATGGCAGAGCTAGCATAGCAAAGATTTTAACTTTTTGAGCTGAAGGATCATACACAGCTATATACGAAACCCAACGTGCATTCGGCGAAATACCAAGCTGTCTATATGCTGCTGAGAGGTCGATGGTTTTTCCAAGCCACTGGAGGTCAGCCCCAGTTTTGAGAAGCTCCACGCATAGGGCCGCGGCCACGTCCAACGTGTGCAGTTTCACAGCGCTCTCGACTTGAACCGTGTCATTCACACCTGATGCGGAGAAGTCATCTATCAATCGCACTTTGGACCCCTCACCTGATGATTGTCGAATCCCGAAGCGTCTACTAACAACTGCATCCGATGGAAGCGCATCGGGGTCGTAGGGACCATCCAGCCAGCCGCATGCAAGTTCCTCCAGCGTCTTTGAAAAGACCACCTCATCCAGATCGTCATCACCTGAAGGCCCAATGGTGGCCAGCATAGCAGGACGTGCCGAGGATGCTTTCTGGGCAAGCTCTGTTACTGAAACCTTTGCAGGCCTGAAGCAAGGGTCAAAAGATGGCACTACGGGTGCCGGTCCAGCTAAATCAACACCATTCACCACCTCATCAAACACAGCAGTGTCGGGATATTGATAATATTCCATCATCTCTTTCCAAAGCAACAGCCTCTTGGGGGCCAAGATTCCACGCAAGGTCGGAGGCAAGCTCGATTGGAATTGCGACTCCATGCAAGACAACTTCTTTCCTCTGTCAAGCCAATGTTGAAGCGTTGCAAGGCGTTGTTTGGCAAGCTCATGAACAGGAGTGCATGATACATGCTTCACAGTTTCCAGTAGTGGGTCTGGCAGCTTGGAGGTACCGCCCACTGGATGCCCAACTCCGACGGCCGCTTTGACAAACTGTTCGCAAGATCTGTAAACGCCAAAGTGGGCCAACTGTTCAGCCTCAACAGGGTCGCTGTGCCCTGGGTAGGGCAGACTTGGGCCTACATCGGGAGGATTACTCTTATGGGTTATGTCAGGGTTAACAGGGCCATCGTAACAAACACCCACATGATTGTCTTTTACAGGAGCATCCAAAACATCTCCCCCATTTAACCGAAGTGGAGGGCGGCGTAAAAGCTTGGCGCCAGCAGGAACTGTATTCCAGGAGGATTGTAGCTTTTGGCCAACTGCGATTGGACAGCCTTCAGGCGGCATGCGTACTCGCAGAACATGTGAGAATTCCGACAGCAACGGCGGCAGTGTGCTGGCTTTGGGTTGTACTCCAACAACGGATCGCAAATGCTGAAATGAAACTTGGTCTGGTGGGGTCAGTTGCCAGGGAGGCGGAGTCCAACCAAGCAGGATCAGCTCTTGTGCGATACCAAAGGCTATGGCGTAGGCCAGCTGCATTGGGTATGCGGTTTCTTCTGCTGTAGAGAAGTGCTTAGTGTTGTCGGATTTTTCAACAACACCCCATGGTTTATGTCTGTGAGTACTGCTAAGGCCAGGACAGGCTTTACACAGACCGAGGAGGGAGCGTGTATTATGAGCAAGCACCGTCCATTTTGGACGTTCAGAGCCGTAGGCACAAGCCTGATGCGCGGTGTATTGCAACAGGCGCTTCAAAGGGGCAAAGAATGAGGTTCTCCAGTACAAGGAGGATCTGGGATTTTCAATAACCACAATGAGGCCAATGTTCAAGCAATACAATGCAACTTTTGTTACAAATGCATATAAGGCATTCGCCGATTGGACTCTGCGACGATTTAGCCAGCTCATACGTGATACACCATCAGGCATGAGGTCGGTCCTCAAGGGTTGAGGGCCAGCTATTTTACGTCCATGGGGCAGGCTTATTGGAATTCCTCTGGCTCTGCTACAGGTTCCGCAAGGGGGAGCACAAAAAATTCCCATGCAACTTGGAGATTTGATCCAGGCCCAGCAAAGTGATTGACCTTCTTTGGAAGTCAAGTCGGCTACTAAGACGCGGCCTGAGTTCTTTTGGCGTTTGTGGTCGACGCCAAATGAAGCACTCAACCCAAATGATTGGAGGCAGGAAGTGACTCTAGCAGAGCCGGCACAAATCTCAAGGATAAAGGGTTCAGATGGCATGGGTTTCACTGCGTCACTGGGAATGTCGTGGCTGTGATCAAAAGGCTGCTGAGGCTCCGAACTTTGGCTGTGGAAAACTTTTTCGTCTGTACCCCTTGGGGGTTCGTTGTGCTTCCATGCAGTCGGCTGCCAAGAGTCACTGGCTGTGCGAACATTGTCAAAAGTCTTCTGATTTTCTGGGCCATGGAAAAATTTTTCTTCTATACCCCTTGGGGGTTCGTTGTGCTTCCATGCAATTGGCTGCCAAAAATCACTAGCTGTGCAAACATCAGTTTTGCGCTTTTTGGTAGCCGGCTGTTCTGTAGATAGTCACGATTTCTTGTGGTCAGCCATGCTGTGCTGACCATAACATATGCAGCATAGGTGGTACCCCTTTCTGCAACGCCCGTCTGCGACGGCTTCTCGGCATTTCTTCAATGAGTAATCAAAGCAAATGGGCTCTCCATCCGGGGTAGAGGCAGTTCCACCAGCGTCACGGATCTCCTTTGGAATTCTCTGATCATATTTTCCTTTTGACTTCCCCTTTCCTTTTGAGGGATAGGGGCGGTACCTGTTGAAACCCTTTTTGTTGCCCTTTGATGGGGTCGCTGAAGCCGCCTTGGCTGCAGGAGCGGCAGCTGTTGCAGTAGCCTTTGGAGCTTGTTTTGCAATCATTGGTAGTAATGAAAAGCTGACTTCATATGACTTCAACGCCTCTTCAAGCTTTGTGTCCAACTCCAGTGCGCCCGTCATGTCGGGTCTGGGTTTAACATTCTTCTCGATCAGGTGGCACCAAGCTGATTTATCAGCTGCCAAGAGCTGGGAAACGCTGCATCGATTGTAGCCTGCTGGCGGCTCTCTATTCAGGTGGGCAAACAAAAGCTGCACATATTTGTCATGACAGGTAAACGACATCACATTGGCAAAATCAAGGGCAAGTCCTCTTCGCTTAAATGCCTCGAGTGCCTGATATGAAGATTGCACACTTGCTTCGAACTCTGCATCTTTGTCGCGGATAACCACCTTTGATGATTCCACTTCAAGCAGCTTTGATTGTGGCTTGTTCGTGAACGAGAGTTCGGTCAACCTGCTG